AAACAATTTGTGATCTATCTTGACTCAGGTAATAATCAATTAATTAAGATAACAAGCCTGATAAATGATTCTGTTTGTGCTACAAGATGCATAGTGAAAAGAACCAGTATAATCAAATTGCAACTATTATTTGCTGCTGTCTTTATTGTCTAGTTCTCTCTTTAATAATAATTTAAAGTTGGTATCATTGAGGTTCAATACATCTTCAGCATCATAAATATTATAGTTTAAAGTAAGGCGATCTAGATCCCTGATTTTAACAAGTCTTCTTTCATCGTCCAATATTTCTTCAATCATTTTTAAAAGATATTTGGACATAAATGTCCGCCAAGCCTCCTTAAATTCGGTCGTAAATGTTGCTTCTTCGTCAATTACCTCAAAGAAACGTTTAAGAAATGACCGCCAAACGTCCTCCTGAAAATAAGCTTGAACATTGGATTGCACGACTTGAGAAAGAGATTCAATCCTGTAAATTAAATTAATAATAATTGTTATGTTAAAACTAATATTAGTATATGAAAAGTAAAACTGATCCAAAACCCTAAATAAAATCAAGTTACTTAAAATTTTCAATGAAATGTTCTGCAACTTTTCCAAGACTATTTCAAAGTGCGTCTCTATAACTTCGAAATGCCGCATTGGCAGCCACCTTTAAAACAGATATATCTTTATGTAAGAATTTTCTAGATGGAAAGCATAGCCTAATGCATTTATGAATGATTGCTTTTGTAAGGTGTCGTATTCTAAAAAACAAGCATTTTAAATATGCCTGAAATGTCATTGATTTTTAAAAGTATTTTGTAAAAATTAGTATTGCATATGAATTTTAAATATGAATAAAAAAGACGCCTTACTTGTTGAGTAAGAACATCAGTGCTTTCTTTATCATTTGACTTTTTAAGACCATCATACTGGGCCATTTGGTTTGCAATCTTTAAAAGTTTTTGTCGTTCAGCAATATATGCCGCTGCTTCATAATCAGAATTGAATAAAAGAGTTTTGCGACTACTTGACCGGGATCAAGAACGTTGATATCGTTGTAATCGAGAATGAGAACGTTGCGAATGAATGTGTCAAGAACGAGAGCGTCTTGGTGATCGAGAACGAGAATGTTGCGAACGAATGTGTCGAGAATGAGAGCGTCTTGGTGATCGAGAACGAGAGCATCTTGGTGATCGAGAAAGAGAATGACGTGAATGAAGTTGTATTGGTGATTGTGAATGAGAATAACGTGAATGTTGAGAATGCCTGGGTGGTTGATAGCTCCTTGGTGATCGAGAACAAGAATATCGTGACCGAGATTGCCTCTGGAATTGAGAACGAGAATATTGTGACCGCGAATCCTCAACATTGTTGTTCAAAGGTGATTTATTAATGGAGTCAAAGTCTTCATTATTATAGTCTTCAAGATTACGACTTCCAATATTCTTAGTCATGTCATTAAGGGTTTCGTTGTGCTTGATTGAAAACGTTTGTTTTTTATTAGATGTAAACGTCTGTTGGTTGGCAGACGCTCTCTTAGAGATACGTGTATTATTAAAAGAGTTAGAGTCTTCAGATTCAGAATCTTCGGGTTTAGAGTAATAGTTTTCGACATCCTTATCCAGGTCATTATGAATATCATTGCTCTTGATTGGTTTAGAAGATGTAAATTTCTTTTGACTTGCAGATGCTTTTTTGGAGGTACGTGTATTTCGTTTCAAACTAGCTTTCTTAGGCATTATGAACAATTTCTTTCAAGAATGGTACACTTTTAATAAATAATAGATATTATCTATTTATTTTTTTATATTTAATTCTGTTAGTTGTATAAATAGTGATGAAATCTGAATTGTGTATACAATTTTTTTAAATCAGTATAGCTATTTGAACAATGCTTACTATAACAGTTCGAAAACCTTGATTGCGCGTATAACTAGGTATGTATTTTATTATCTCGGTTTATTCAAACGAAAGGCTATTTTTTTAGCCTTTATATTACTTTTGCATTATATTATTTACATCACTTCCCCTATTAAACTTGTTATATACTAAATTATACTTCGTATATTAATTTATTTCGTCATAATTTACATACTGATCACAATATTGATGCATCCAATCACCTATATTTCTCTTACGATTAACGCCGAAACCAAACTTATCACGTGAAATTCGCCTTATATTTAACTTTCGTTATTACCCTTCATTTTAATAACCCGGAACCTTCATTGCTCAAAGAATCTTGAACCAAATACAAGGGTTTTCTGAAACTACATAACAGTAATCTAAAGAGAGAAAGATCTAATAATAATGTAATCCAAGAATTTATAGTAAACAAAGATCTAGTAAGTAATAAGTGATCTAAACTAAAATCTAATAATGTGATCATCTAAAATTTTTAAGAAAGTAATATCTACTGTAATAATATTATGATTTTGTTTAATAAGAATTTAAGAAAATAAAGAACTAATCTTATCATGTTCTTATCTAATAGAAATTTAAAGAGAAATTTGCAAATGAATATCTAACTACTGTAGATACACAAAATTTTGTTTATGTAGAAAACACTCCATATTTATTAGGAATTGCTGTAATATAACATGTAAAATATTTTCAATATTTTTTTATCTTAAATTTTATTGTAGTAGAAGGTTTTTTTTACAGAATTAGCTTTAATTAGAATTAACTAATATGTATGTACATTGTGGTGCGGTTTGAGATTTTTCTAATCTACTTTCCTATTAAATATTTTTTTGTTTCCTTTTAACAGAAAACGAATTTGGTTTTTGCTGATCGGGATCTATTGATATAAGTTAACAACTAAATACTTCTTTTTTGCTATGGAAATATATAAGATTCATAAAAGTTTATTTGCTGATCTCTTGACAAGT